AGCATGTAGTGACAGCTCTTGAGGCCCCACAGCCATAGCCTTCGCCCCAGATTGCTCAGCCTGCCACCACTACGACGACTCGAGCAGTACAGCCCAGTGGGCTTTAGAGTCAGGGACAACCTCCAGCTCTGTTTGCTTCTCCGCTAGTACAGGTGTCCCAGTGGTTATCCTCGCCAGTGGTAGCCCCGCAGTTCACACTACTTCAGACGGGCTTCACACCAGATCAGTCATCCTCGCTATTTGTGCCTGACACGTCAGTCTCCAGGAGTCTTGGAGCATCTTTTAGCGAGTTGATAGGGATGCCTACAACACCACATATGCATGCCCTAGGTCCTTCTACAGCAGCTCCAGTCGCCGTGACTACTCAGAGGCTCCCTTCGTCTATCGCATCTTCAGATCCTACGACAGATATACCAGCAGCATCATAGGCAGCACCTGCCCCAGCTCAGACCCAGACCGCTTCAGCGACGCTTCCAGCCACAGAGGGTCAGTCAGCACAGAGCTCAGGGTCAGATGATGATGCTGCCCAGTTTCAGCTTGCTCCTCGTTCTTCAGCGCCCGACTCGTCCGCTGCAGCCCCGCCGACCAGCCCTTAGGTTTTGGTGTTTGACGCCAAAGGGGGAGAGGGTTCAAGTATGTAGACTCAGGGGAGCGACATTTAGGGGGAGCTAGTTAGCTATTTGTCTTTTATATGCATTTGGAGTTTTATTTGTGTGATACACTATTACTATTATGCATTCGTGTGTTTACTTTCATGCATACTATTATATCTATGTGATAGTGATATCTACGTGATTGTGATATATGACATGTGTGCTCTCTACTTTGAATTCTTTAATATGTCATATCACTTGAGCTATGCTCATTTGCCTTTACTTCCGCGTTTTTACTCCGATGCAAATGAGTTTTTCTTATTGTACTCATGCTTATTTCATATCATTTGAGTACATCATGATGGCTTGGGTTATATAAGCTTGACTAACTCTTTTGTTCTTATTGCTAAAAGCTTATATGATCCAAGCATGTTAAAAACCTCAACTCTTTCACATACTCAAGGTTGTATTGTCATCAATCACCAAAAAGGGGGAGATTGAAAGCATCTAGGCCCCTAATTGGGTTTCAGTGATTAATGACAATGTTAGATTACTGTGACTAACGTGTGTTTTACAGAGGCAATTAAGTTAGGTCACGGTAATGGAGATTGATTGGGCAATCAAGGTTGTCATACCCCTACGTTGGAAATCATTTTGGTTTTCAAAGGATGGACGACAAGGTTAAGGATGACTAGTTCTAAGTGTTGATTGGAGTTGAAGAGACACTTAGAGTAGTTTAGGACTTTGTTTTTCCTTTGGCCGTACTAATAAGGGGGGTATGGACGGGTAGCTTGACCTAGGTGAGTCTAGTGAGTTAGGTGTGGTGCACACTTGTTAAAACTAGCACTAGGTAGCTCCTAAATATGCCTAAGATCAATTGGAGCAAACTTCATTCACAAATGATCGAGAGTTGGAAGTGAATGGAGGGTCAAAGACTAACCGGACGCTGGCTCCGGTGCGACCGGACGCTGGCCGCAGGGTCCGGTCAGTTCATTTGACTGAGGTGAACTAGTCCGGTTTGACCGGACGCTGGAGAGGTCAAGTGACCGGACGCTGAGGGCCAGCGTCCGGTCGACTCCAGTAAGGTTCCAGAAGAGTAAATCTACGACTGGACGCGTCCGGTCAGTGCTGACCGGACCCTGAGGGTCCAGCATCCGGTCGAGTTCAGTAAGCATCCAGTGAGGGAAAAATGGGACCGGACGCGTCCGGTCAGTGGTGACCGGACCCTGCCGGCGTCCGGTCAACTCATAAACACTGGTATGCGGGTTGAATTAACCGGAGCGTCCGGTCAACAAGACCGGAGCATCCGGTCACCCCGCAGAGGCACATAACGGTTCGTTTTTCAGGCTGTCTTATAAATAGAAGCTCCACTCGTATGTGGAGTTACTTTTGCTCATTTCAACAGCTGAAACACACCTTAGAGAGTGCCAAGAAGAGCAAGGTTCTAGTGAGGTGATTGAGATTTGAGAATCCAAAGAGAGCCCTTATTAGTGAAGATCAAGAATAGCAAAGTGTGCATCCACCCTTCTCCCTAGGCTTGTTGTGGTCAAGTGAGAGTTCGTGCTTGTTACTCTTGGTGATCGCCATCACCTAGACTGCTTGGTGGTGATTGGGAGCTTGGTGATCATCCGGAGAGCTTGTGGATGACCCAACTCAAGTTGTGAGCGGTTGTGAGTGATTCACCGCGACGGAGTGTCAAAGAATCAATCCGTAGCGAGCACTTGATTCTTGCGTGGATTAAGGGGGGGCTACACCCTTGCGCGGGTGCTCCAATGAGGACTAGTGGGGAGTGACGACTCTCCAATACCTCGGCAAAACATCGCCGCGTTTCCTCTCCTCTCTTTACTTTGAGCATTTACTTTGAGCATTTTAATTCTTGTCATTTACATTCCTAGAATTGCCCTGCTAGAGTAGGATTGGAACTAGGTTGCTAAACTTTTGTGCGTTAGATCAATAGAAACACTTCTCTAGACACAAGGGGTTAATTGGGCTAACCATAGGATTTGTTTATTGCGAAGAAATTTAGAATTAGCCCAATTTACCCCCCTCTTGGGCATCTTGATCCTTTCAGACCCATGGGCTCAATTGATAGGTCCTCTTTTTGTCTGCCGCACTCAGCTCATTATGAGAGTAAAGCAAGTTTTTTTCCATTTTCCTTCACTTAAGTCACACTTGGGGTGCAACAAGGTCTTTAGTGCATGAATGCAAACCTTTCATGCATATAATTAGGTGATGTGATGAATGAATAATGCAAGAGTGCTTGGACACAATGGAGGAGCCAAGGCTAATACGAAGGAGGGACCAGATGGAGCCAGAGCTATTTTTTTTCCTTTTCTTTGGCGACAGATTTACTAGGACTGCTGATCAAATGAAGAGAAAATAAGCTATTATCCAACAGAGAACAAAAATGCTCAAAAAATAGAAATGATATGCTTCAAGCTTATACACTGCACAAATAATTAACTAAAACAAAAGTTCATTTTTTTAAAAAATTTTCCAAAGATCTCGGATTGAGATACAACCTAATCAAAAGTTGTAGTACTCAACGAGATATAAAACTTTTCAGTTCAAAGCTTTTGCATTTAAAATTGTTTAGAGTCTCAAATATTCATTATAATATTCAGTAATGTGAGTAAAAAACAAAGAAACATTCACTGAGTCACAAAAGCCATCGTGGTGTAGTTGTAAGTGACGATTCACTTGAAACCTCTGACCACAAGTTTGATTCCCAGCTGTAGCAAATGTGTGAACTTTTTTTGCTATATATCTACTTGGGGTCAGCAACATATATCCTTGAGGGTCATCGGCCCTTAGAAAAATATATATCCTTGACGGTTGTTAGATATACCTTGGTGGTCATCGGCATTCAAGAAAACATATATTCTTGAGGGTGTTAATTTTCTTGACACTGTTATATTTCTTTGGCGGCTGAACCCTCAAGAAAATCATTTGTGGCGGCCCACGCTCCAGATAATAGCTATTTTCCTTGCTATCTACCCTTGGCTGTGCTTCCTTGAGTGTTGGCCACTAAGGATTATTTCCTTGGCTCGGTGGCTTTCATGGTTTTCTTGAGGGTTTTTGATCCTCAAGGATATCCTATTTTGTGGTAGTGGCAATTTTCTTAGAGAAAAGGTTCTCCCCTTTATTTCAAAGAAACAAATTAGCGCACGGAGTGCCTCAATTAGAGCATCTCCAGTAGTACTACCTAAAACCGACTACCTATTTATCTCTTTAGATAGCCACCCATTTTCATAATACCCATATTTTGCTCCAACTCTAGCAATACTACCTAAAATAGGCAACCCAAACTCATCATAGCAGAGAATGACATGTGTGTCCCACATGTCATCCTCTCTCGTGTTCTTCTTCTCGCCATGGATGGAGCTGGAGGTGGCCGGAGGTGCGCCGGGGGCAGCCACCGCGCCGAGCAGGCCGCTGTGCTGGCTAGGGCCGCCCGCACCGCCTTCTGCCCCGCGCCTCGCATGTTGGCCGAGGACTCCTGCCGTGCCGGGGGCGGCCGGATCCGGCGATGGCGCACCCACGCAAGGGATGGCCACTGCCTCCCACGCCAGGGAGGGTCACGACGCCTGCGCCGGGGATGGCTGCCTTGAGCTCGCGCCAGGGAGGCGTGGCCGTGCCGGGATGGCCGCCACCTCCTGCGCTAGGGCAAGGTCACCGGCGTCTCCCATGGGGCGGCGTGGAGGTCCCCTACGGAGAACCGACGGCAGTGGATCAGGTGCTCGTCAGAGGAAAGAGATGTGCGGGCGGAAAACAGACAAATGAGAAAAATAGGTAGTCACCTGTTGGCCCAACCGAAATGGATAGTGGGAGGGGAAATTTGTTGCCAGCAAATTAAGGTAGTCTAATAGCTAATCTGCTGGAGTGCGTTTTTTTTGCCTCCATTACACAAGTTGAGGATATATAGTGTGCTTATGTAGTCTGCTAAACAACATATTGGGGTAGGGGCCGTCCGCCAACATTGTGTTGGTCTAGACTCTGAAAAACATGTTATAGTTTATAGAGGATAGAGCTTTTTTTCTGGACTTGTTTCTAAAAAAAAGGGCAGAGCTGCACACATATTGGGTTGGGCAAGCATTAAACTTACCTGGGCCGCTGCATCGGACTGCTACCAACTTATGGCCCTATTTCGGGCAGTCCAGTCTAGGCATTTCTTTGCACTGACTAAAACTGAAAAGTTTGACTTTGATTTGAACCCCCGCTCCACCAGACACTAGCTAGTACTAGCAGTAGTAGCTACCTTCCTCTTTTAGCTGCTCCATTTACTACCGCCGGCTGGCACTCCCATTCCGGCGCTCCTCTCCTTCGCACAGCACCCCGCCGCCGGAAACCCACGCAGCCTCTCCCACCCTCATCGCGTTCGCACCCTGCGCCGAAACCCTAGCCGACATGGAGCCCGACACCTCCACCTCCCCCGCCGCCGGGACGTCCCCTGCTGCGGTCCTTGAGCATGGTGAGCCCTCCGTGCGCGACCCGAGCCTCCTATCGCCCGCATTCTCCCCTGCGCCGTCTCCCGGCCTCGTCCCTGCGTCTGGATCCGGATCCGAGTCATCCTGGTACCAGCAGATCCCACTTTCGCCGGCTGTGGCGGCGGGGAATGGCTCCCTCTCCGCCCACGCGCACGCGACGTCGTCGTCGCCGTCCGTGCCCTCCTCCTCCTTCCCCACAGCCGGCACGCTCCCTATGGTGGGTTATGATCTGTTCGGCAATCCAGAAGCGACGGCGGCAACCCCTCTCCCGACGCTCCTCGGAGGCCAGTGGGAGCAAGGGGGGTTGTCGTCGATGGCAGCGTCGGTCCTGCCAGAGTGCCCAAGCCCGGGCTTGTTCGGGTTCGCCGGCGAGTCCGCGGCGTGGCTGAGCGACGAGATGTCGTCGTCCTTCTTCTCGCCGCCGCCTGCTAGTGGCCTGGCGCCGCAGAGCAGCGACAACTTGGTAGGGTTCGCGCAGCCGTCATCGGACTCTGAGATGGAACCGCTATCGCAGAGGTTGCGTATACCTTCGCTGGCGGTGGAAGACAGCCCCGTCGACGCCCCACTGCCGCCCATCGAGGATGAGGAGATAGATGTAAGTGCTTTCCTTGTCTCGGATCCAGAGGATCAGCTGCCCAATGCATCGTGGATGGCGACTAGTCCGCAGATGGGCGGCGGCGGCGGTGGTGGCGGCGGGGCAAGTGCATCGTGGATGGCGCCAGGGAGCACCTGCAACAACTGGACGCCGATGTTGGCGCCGACGGCGGCGAGCACGTGCACCATGGTAAGCACCAGCAGTGGGAGCATGGCCTGCCACTTCGGCGGCTCGTCCATAGGCGTCGCCAGCTCCATCGGAGGTATGATGAAGCCATCATCACCTGTGCTGCCGCTGGTACCGCCATCACCCCAGGCTGCCGGCGCTAGCAGCACCAACTTTAACGGCTTCGCGCAGCCATCTTCGAGTTCCGTTCTCGCCCCACATGCGCCAAATCTACAAGGGCCTCTGCTGCCGGTGAAGCAGGAGGTCATGGAGATGGAGTACGTCGACGCCACAGCACGCCGTCATCCTGACTTCATATCACTCGTCGACGACGATGAGGATGGGATATATCAGGATGTTATCCCGTGCTCCATTGCTGGACTAAACGGATGGTCTAGGAGCAGCAGCGGCCACAGACAGGGACCAAGTTTCGCGCCGGAAGCAGAGAGTAGGTACAACGTCTTCGGCAGCTGGGGCAGCAACAGCAGCAGCCCTAGCTTTGGTCCGGGAAGCTGGGGCGGCGGCAGCAGCAGCAGCAGCCCTAGCATTGCTCCAGGCATCTGGGGTAGTAGCAGCGGCAGCCCTAGCTTTGCTCCTGGAAGCTGGGGCGGCGGCAGCAGCAGCAGCCCTAGCTTTGCTCCCGGCAGCTGGGGCGGCGGCAGCCCTAGCTTTGCTCCCAGCAGCTGGGGCAGCAGTAGCGGCAGCCCTAGCTTTGCTCCCAGAAGCTGGGGCGGCAGCAGCAGCAGCAGCAGCCCTAGCTTTGCTACCAGCAGCTGGGGCAGCAGCAGCAGCAGCCCTAACTTTGCTGGGAGCATGCCGTGTTTCGATCGAAGCATGTCCATTGACAACTACAGCTCCAGCTCCATGCTGAAGCTGTCCATCGGAGGGAAGATGCCATCCACTTCTGGTCTGCCACCGCTGCCAAGGGCAGGTGCTAGCAGCAGCAAAAGTGGCGCTGGGATCGTTTTCACCGATCCTGAGATGGCGATCATCGCGAAGGACAAGAAGCTCCAAGAACTTTTGAGAACTGATCAGAAGAAGGTGAAGAGGTAATAATTGCAATTCTAGACATCGGTTACTTTACATGTGGTCACTGCTCATTGGAGAAAATATTTTCTTCTGAACATATTTAGGATTCTGTATAACCGCGCGTACTCCGCAACGGCAAAGGTCCGCAAGGTGATGCACACCAAGAACCTGGAGCGCATGATTGTGACACTGGAGGAGGAGCGCAAATCCTTGTATGCAGAATTGCAATCGCTAGAGGTTTGTCCTTAGTTCACAGTTACTAGGGACATGCTGAACGTTTCTTTTCGAAACTGATAACACCAGTCACTGTGTCGTGTACATATGCACGAGTGCAGGAGGGATCTGCTGCGCTCATGGCACAAAAGATGGAGATGGAAATGATCATTGGGGAGCTAGAGCAACAGACGATGCTCAAAGATGGTATGCCCTGTTTTGTTCCGTTTGCTTTCTTCTAGCATTCCTTAGTTCATGCTCTGTGCTTGGTTCTTTCATGTGGTACTATAAATTGATTTGTCGGTGTATATGATCTATAGGTACGTTGCTCACAACACTAATTGTAGTTGTTCGATGCACTCATATGTTCGTATTTTCGAGAAATCAAGTATCAATTTTTGTTCTTGCCTTGGTGATAAAGATGCATTATCTTAAATTATAAATTTTGTGTCGAAACATGAGTTTCTGGCTAGCTCATAAGATAGACTAGTGCATGCTTAGCACGACGAAGGCAAAAGCAGCAACTGATGTGCAACTCTGCTAGTGAGACACTTCCGCAGAATACTCAAGACCGCCGGTTTGAAAGACCCTATCACCGCTGGTTTTCACCCTTGTTGGTGATATTTGGTGATGATTTCGTTATAACTTGGTGCTAATTTAGTCCTTTAAGTAATATAGATAGAATATAAATGTTTTAGCATGTGACTTCAGTACTACTTAATCTCATGAACTTATGATCTCTATGCTCCTACTGATAATGTTTTTAACAATGTTTTCCTCAATGATTATTGTACAAGTTTTGTTCCTTTATCGAATTATCAATGACTAGTTTAACTTTAGTTCCATTATTCCTCTATATGCAGCTGTGAGGGAAGGACTAAAAGCTGAGATCCAAAACCTTAAACACCTGAAGCTCAATTAATGTAGTACAACCTGGCTCACATATAAACCCTCTACAACAAGGGGAGAGCCCATGCATGGTTGAAGGGAAGCAGCTACAAATACTTGACCAACACCATCCGAAGAACTAGAAGGGTCATCAGGAACAAGACCATGAGAAATTCTAGATTTGTTTATCAACCATTCAAAATTAATGTTGTATCGCATACCTTATCTCCTGATAAAGTTATGGACATATTTGGAAGTTTACTATAAATTAGTCAAACAGTTCCAACACTTATTAGTTCATAAGTTATCTTGTTGATTGTTCACATTTATTTTAATAAAGATTTTAATTATATACAAATTTTTCTCTATCATGGTAAATTACTATAGTTACTATATTTGTTTTGCTTGAAATAGCAAATATTTTATTAGTCTATATATCTAATGTGATTCACCAATTTTCTTGCACCTTTCATTCAAGTACATTTTGTTACCTTTGTATCTAGGTGTGGTAATTTGTCTTTGAAAAGGATCAGGCAAGCCTAGAGGGGGGGGAGGTGAATAGGCCTGTTTAAAATCAAACTCAATGTAGTGGCTAGTCACAGGCGTGGCACTGCCACACTTGGGTGTGGAAGTTCTGGACACAACTGCAGAGGTGCCACGTATCAAAGCACTTCGAACCTACAGTTCAAAATCTACTGAATGGAAAGTAGATTGAGTAAATTACTGAGGTTCTAGGTAGATTGTAGATCCTAGTTCACCGGTTCTCCAAGGTAGAAAGCTTAAGCACAAGTAGGTCAGGAAGAAACCCTAAAATCACAACCAACACAATAGAGAGCACAATACAAAGTGCAAGAACACAAGGACAAGGTATTCATCCCGTGGTGCAGCTTGCCACTAAGGCTTGCCTACTCCACATTTTTTAGGAAGCCACCAAGGCTTGGGTTTGACCGAACCCTATCCTCTTCTCAAGTCAAGAGAGCAAGTCTCTTGGTTGAGGGTTCTTACTAGATGTAGGGAGAGTTTACAAACTTCTCGGAGCACACACAAGAGGTTGTAGTGCTTCAGCAGGCGACGCCTAGCCAATTAGGACCTCTTGCTCCAAGAGTAACAAATGCAAACCACCGGCTTGAATGCGAACCAAGTGCTCTAGGAGTTCGAGCTCCGTTTGGCAAGCTCTCTTCAAAATTTTGGAGGCCAAACTCTCAAGGAATCACTAGGGAATCAAAGGGAGAGCTTGGGGGCCTTCAATGGCAAGGTTGGAGCTTGTCAGCTGGTTGGTGAGGAATGAATGGACGAGCTAACCGTTGGGCGGAGGAAGAAGAGATATAAATACCCTTCCTTCCAACTACCCATTAAGTCACGGCAGTGCCACAAATTACATGGTAGTGCTGTGGTGTAGCAATGCTGCATAAAATGAGGCAGTGCCGCTCTAGCCAGCTGCTAAAGAATAGGAGTTAGACAAGGGCTGGCTTGCTTTTGTGTGAGGATTTGTATATGGTGGATGTGTTAAGCACTTGGTTGCACATTAAATCTTGTGCATTTCACCCCCCCCCCTTGATAGTGCAGTGGTTCCTAAACTCAAATTCAAAACATAAAACAAATTTGAGTGCATCACCATGACTTTTTCTAATTGGCGGCTCCAATTTAAATAATATCCTCATTGTTTTCTCACCTGCTTGTCAAATCAATAAATCTCATTAGTCCTCTAACTATGTGGTCATTATCACCAAAACCCACATTAGGGCTTAACTGCGCTTACAATCTCTCCCTTTTTGGTGATTGATGATAACACAATTAGAGCTTACAAATGAATGGAATATAAACTGAGATTTCTATCCATGGGTATAGAGACTCCCCCTAAATGTGTGAATCAAGAATTGAATTCTCAACTTGGCATAAGAGGCCAAGTTTCACAGATTGAGTTAAGTGTTGGGCTCCCCTTATATCCATGCTCCTGTGGGGTGTTGCATAATTGTGATGCAATATGACAGTTATGCACTCAATAAAACTAAAGCTGCCATATATGGCACTTCCGCATAACTTCACCGCACTGCCACAGATATGACAGTTAGCACAATGAAAGCAAACACCACACAAATAGGTTATAACAGAAATTAAACTACTCAAACAATAACCTGACAAGCTATCAAGCACAGATAACATATATATCCATATCCATTATACAGAGGTCCACATAGGTAGCTAATATAGAAAGGAATATAATACAAACCACCAAAGAGTTTGAGAATGCTCTCAACTCACCCTCAAGCCTCACATGGATAGAACATGTAGATCCTCCAACATGACATCAATGGTGATGAAAAGGATGTACCCCCTCAATTTCTCCCCCTTTTGGCAATAAGCACAAAAAGAGAGAAAAAGAAAGAGAGGTACCAACAACTCACTCCTCGTCCTCAAGGTTGTCCCAACGGATGTCTCCACCAACATCGTCGTAGTTGTCATAGTCACCACCATCGTCGTCCTCGTCGTATTCATTGGAGACCATCACCTTGCCTTTACGGTGGGTCAAAGCTGTGTAGTGCATACCACAAGTTGAGGCATGAGTTAATGGACCGGTGTACTGCTCCTCCTCCTCCTCCTCCTCCTCCTCGTTGTTCGAAAGGTCTGACAAGTCACTAAACTTAGGAGGTGGGCAAGGGGCCTCTAGCAATGGAAGTCTCGCACGCTCCCTAAACTCCCGGACAACAAGGCATGCCTCGTAAGCTATCATCGCTGCGTAGGTGCATGTTGAAAAGATGGCCTTGAGGAACCAAGAAAGCTTGCTCTTCCTACGACTGAGGAAGAGTGAGAGCTAGGGCCAGAAGTTGAAGGTTGTGCTACTGCTCTAGAGTAAGTGCCCACAATGTCTCCTATAGTTGAGTGGTGTGTCTTCTCTCCTCTATAGGGCTCATGACATCCATCCTTTAGAGAAGTGTATACAATCACATAGTTGATGATGAACATCACATAAGGGGCATAGGACAGCCCCTTCCTCACATCGTCTGCTACTACCTACAACTCCATCCATAGGAACCTAGAAGCAGAGAATGATGCACTACCTCCAAGAGACATCCTGGCAAGAAGATTCCTTGCATATCCATTAAGGTCCAAGTAGCTACATCCTTGGGGTTAATTGCAGTCCTAGTCATGTTATTCAGGATGTAGTAGTAACTCTTCAAGCCCATGATCTTCACATCTGCAGCTCTCCTATGCACATACATGAATGCGGTCTTCCTGACAGACATTCAGATCTCATCATGTATCTCTGTAATTCTCCTATCCTCCTCACCAAAGCCAAGAAGGTAGGAAATGGTGATAAAGTCAAGCATTAGTATCTGCCCTCTATCATCTAGTGGATCTCATCATACTTCACATTGCAGTAGAAGGTGGCATGAAACTGAGCAAACACCTCTATGTTCCAGTCATACAGGAACCCCATCAAATCATATAGCATGTGCTGCTCACAAGCTGGTATGGCCCTTTCAAACTCTCCATCCTTCTTTGCAACCAAGTGATCCCAATCAGCATATTTCATCTTCACTATGCGAGATGACTTTGAGCTAAAGAGCACGATGGAATAGAAGTCCGAATGGAACTCATTCCAAAACTGGTGGTCAACTTCATTTCTTTGGGCAACGTGTATGGATCAATAAACCTCTATTGCTTCACTGGCACACTCACGTTGGTACATCTAGTGATGTTCCTCTACCTAGTGTCCTGGGGCATCCTCTCAGTCACATCCTCTAGATATGGTAGCATATATGAAGGAGCGAACTCTGTGAGGTGAGCTGATTTAGCAAGGCATGCATGCGGATGAATAATTCACCCAGCCATCTCAAGTGTCATTCCATGCTATGCTAGCTCATCAGCACTCCCCTGCCTTTGGTAGCACTCCCACTGCCTCTAGTAGCACTCCTACTCGTTGCTCCACGGCCACTGCCCCTACCTGCTACACCTCCCTTGTAGGATGGCTCCTCCCTCCTACCACCCCCTTGGATCATGCAACATCTTGGTCCTCTTCTCCGCGGGCTCATCTCCGGAGCTCATCTATGCAAGAAATGTGTAGAACTAATAAGTGTCTACACAGTAGTGAATAGAAGAACAAAATGATGCATAGATTCAATAGAAAAGGGGAGTCAATCATTGAATCTGAGTGCAACTGGTGTAGCACTACCATAGGGCTGCATGGCAATGTCGTAGCTGTGCGTAGCAATGCCACGTCAATTGCCATCAAACTCAGTCTTTGAATCTCCTTTTCTACTCAATGCGTTCATCATAAGTGCTTCTAGAACTACCATACATACGTAGGAAATCGAGTTCTATCAGACATTGAACCGTGTTGCATAGATCGGGCTTGGTCTAGGGTTTTAATTGAGAACAAGAAAAGGATGGGCGGGGAGAGAAGATGGCTCGGTCGAATGATCCTAGTCACTCTGATGGCACAGAAGATGGTCAGAGTGTGGCACAGACCACTAGACGGTGGCATGACACCTGTCGTGAACCAGTCATGACATGTTAAAATTCATCATCATCATGAGCATTTTATGCATTTGATATCAATTTGTGAAGAAACTAAACCAAATCTGCACACTGTATGTTTTGACGGAGGCTCTGTCAATCATGAAGGAGTGTCCGTTGAGACTTCTGCACAAGACTAATAGTTGTCAGGTGTTGTTAGAGCACTTTGTGAACTGAAGGAGTGTCCGTTGGAAATGGCGAACTATCTATCAAGTCAGCATGTAGAAACTCTTAGGTGTCACTTTGCTAGTTTCACTTGGCCCCACCTCTCCGCACACCTGTCTAGCTTATAGAGTGGCAAGGCCAGAGTTGTAGTTAGATCTCCCACTCACTCTCACTCTTGTTCATCTTTCTCTATACTCTCTCACACCCAACCAAGCCAAGAGAAGGAAGGGGAGAATAAGGAGGGGAGATTGGAGGCCATTACCAGCAAGAGAAGCAAATGGATTGCTGCTAGTGGTTGAGCTCAACAAGGGGTCAGGGATAGAAGAGAGAGGAGACCTCTCTTGCTCACCA